GGGATGGGTGTCATTCCATGAGCCTTTTCCTCAGGGATGGGTGTTATTCCATTGCCATTTCTTCAGGAATGGGCACTGAGATGGATCCTAAGGTGGAAGGATCCAGCCTGAGATGGAAGGTCCGGGGCACATACAGAATTTGGGATGGATTTATCTGGGAGGCTCAGGAAGGATGCTGCAGTTGCCCACCAGGAGCTGAGCTTGACGTGTTCTTTTGGGAAATGTCACCTTCTGATCTCACTCCTCCCTGAGATACCTGTGGATCAYAGGATTACCGGATGCTTTGGGTTGGGAGGGACCTAAAGTTCATCTCRTTCCCCACCCCTGCCATGGACAGGGACACCTCTGCTATCCCAGGTCACCCCAAGCCCCATCCAGCCKGGCYTTGGATGTCTCCTGTACTTCTGGCCAAAGGACAGGGGGTGTTTTTCCTGGAAATGGAAGGAGYCCACAGCCAGAGATGAACCCAGTGYTCYRGGAAAAYAAACAAATGAAAATATCCTGGTGCAAGGTCTGGGTGGCTCATGGCAATCGGTGGCTGCTGGGGCCTGGGACACACTGACACCAGGCACAGCTGCTCTGTGGGGAGGAGTTTGGAGGAGCAGGAAAAGCCATGGCAGGGTCCCTCAGRGCTCTGTCACAGCACACCCAGCCTGGCTGGGGACAGAAGGGTCACCTTCCTGTAGCTCCATCCATTCCTGCCCTTCCCTCAGGCCCTGTCTGGCCGGGCTTTGTCATGGATCAGTCAGGACAGGGCTGAGCTGCACGGTGGGAAAGTCACTGGAAAAAAGCTTTAGGGGATGATTGACAGAACTGTCTCTGGTGGAAGGAGCTAATCCGGGCAGCTCATGAACACCAGGTCCCTAATTAAAGCACACAGCCGGGCCTGCTGTAATTAATTTCCCGGTGCTGCTGGCTGGCAGCGCTCTAGGTGCCACTGACTCACCGCTCCTGGCAGCCTCGGGGCATCGCGGTGGGACGGGGGAGCCGTGCTGAGGAGCTGAGGAGCTGAGGAGCTGAGGAGCTGAGCAGGGTGTGCCCCTTCCCCCCTGCTCCTCCGTGCTGGGGAGGAGCCGCGGTGCTGGGACGGGACCTTCGGAGCTTCCCAAGGGAAGGGAGATCCTCTGGATCACTGTCGGGATGGGTGGCACAGGGCAGGGTGATGGCTCATCCTCTGCCAGCTGCTCCCTGTGTGGACATGGATTGACGTGGATTGACGTGGAATCATTGTGCCCTTGGCTGGAGCTGGAACAGGAATGTTGTCACTGCATGGGAATGGCTCCTGGCATTCCCTCCGCTGTTCCCATATATTCCTAAGGCATGTAGGATGCACCGAGGGTGTGGCTGGATTTTGCCCAGGCCTTGGCAGGAAGGAGCAGCTGGGGACAGTGTCCCAGCACTGTTGTGCTGGAGTGGGAGGTGTTGCAGAGKGAGGTGACTCCGGTGCCCCAGAGTCACCCCTGTCCCCATCACCCCAATYACAGAGCTGGAAAGAGGCTCCACACAGTCCCATTCCTCTGCCCACGGGGTTTCATTATCAGCTGCAGACGCATGGCCGGAGAGTCTCCAGCCCTGTTTTAATTTCCCAGGAGGCTCYTCCTGGTGTGCCATGGCTCCAGCAGGGAATTGCAGCTGTCTCGTGTCGCTGCGCTTCGTGCAATGGGACGTGACACGTCAAAACATGACAAGGCAGCCAAAATGTGTCACAACACTGCTCTCAGACTGTGCCTCGCAGGGCTGCTCAGCAGCTGATAACATCAGCCTCCAATTATCTCTGCATGCTGAGCTGGGCTTTTTCTGCCGTGTGCAATGTGATATATGGGAGTCTCCTGCCTGAATTGGCCTCTTGGATCACATCGGGTTTATTAACCACACGTGGTGAATCATTTTGACCAGACCAACACTCAGACCTGGGGCCCTGGCCTGTCCTTGCAGGGAAGAGACTTTCCCACCTCAGCTTTTCCATCTGTAATTACTTCAGTAAACATTTGGAGAGGTTTCCGTGTGATTTAGTCCCTAATTGTTGGTGTTTGATGTGATTTCCTTGGCCACGTAAGCACCTGCCAGGTTCTAAGGGAGGTGCAGCTGTTGCCTTCGGATTTGCCCTCGGGAATTTGCAAGGCTGGATGTGGCTCCAGTCTCCCCAGTTCATCCCATTCTGCATCGCTGGGGTTTACTGCCTGGCTTTTAGAACTCTGCTTTTCCACCTTACTCTGTAACGAGGCACCAACATTCCTGAAAGATATTTTTGAGGGGTTCAAAGAAGGAAAAACGCTCCCACAACAGAGGCAAAGTMGTTCTTGTCCCTGGGCTGGAGATCCTTGTCCCAGAAGTGACGGGTCGGGAAGGGGACACGGTGTCCCTGGTCACACGAGGCGTTCTCAAATGGAGCCTCCCGCTGCTCTGGCTGSTGCCCATCCAATTTAGCTGCCAATTTGGAGGAATCAGACTAATTACCGGCTGCTAATTGCTGGGAAAGCACTGCTGGCTGCGCTCCTTTCCCCAGCGGGAGCAGCAGGGCTCTGCTCAGGTCTGTCAGCCAGAGCTCCAGGGACCCTCCCGGATCCCTTTGCAGGAGGTGCTGCTCTGTCCATCCTCGCCCTCCCTCCAGGCTCATTCCCGGCTTCCCAGATGGGGAATTCGGTGAATCAAAATGTTTCCTCGTGATTCCAGTGCAGCTGCGGGGCATCACCAGGAAAAACTGTTCCTCTCTGGGGTTTTCCAGCCCCATGGGGCTGCCTGCATGCTTGGGACACATGGAATCTGTTCCTGCCTTGCAAACTTTGTGGGGTCCCTGAATGAAGACTTGCACCTGATATTCTCCCACAGCAGCAACACCCACCGTGGAAAATCCTGCTGTTTCCTCCTTTCCCTTGGTGGCTGCACGGGTTCAAATGAAAAAAAAAAAATGGAGAGAGAGGAAGCAGGAATGTGTGGCTTAARGTTTTGAGCAGGTGAAGGAAAGGATCTTCTTGGTCCTGAGACTTCTCCAGGCAGGTCTGACCTGAAAGTTATTCTGGGAATGTCTCACAGTTATTTCTCCCAGGAAGACCAAACCAGTCCAAAATTATTTGTGGAAAGGCAGTWACATTTTGAGAGCACTGTGGGGACACCTGCTCATTTGGAAGAGTTGTTCAGTGACCCTGAAAGGGAGGGAAGGAGTTTGTGGTGCTGCTGGTGTGGGATTTGGAGTCTCCTGGTGAGCTTTGGAGTCTCCTGGTACATCCTGGGGGCTTTCCTGGTGGCTGAGCTGTGGCAGGGGGAGATGCTCCAGAATTCGGTCTCTTTGCTCACAGGTAAGATCCTGGGGGCAGCGCTGGTGCTGGATGTGCAAATCTGTAGTGCTGATCCCTCTTGTTCACCTCCTGAGGGCTGAGGAGGCACTCAGACTCAGCCTCTGAAAGWGTAAATTGATTCAAGGTCTTGAGTGAAGGGGCAGAGCATTCTGAATCCTGCATTTAACTGTTGGTTGCCCTGGCATCCGTTGGTTGTTGTTGGCAGTGCCACACCAGAGGGGGCATTTTGGGCTCTCCATGACCCTGCCTAATCCCCACCCCATTTTTGTCGTTCCTCAGGAAGCAAACTGCTGATTTTGGTGCTTTGCTTGAACATCCCGTCAGAAGCGCAGTCCTGCCCGGGGGCGTGTGTCTGCTACAGCGAGCCCAAGATCACCATCAGCTGCCAGCAGCAGGGGCTGACRGCCATCCCCACCGAGATCCCCATCCAGAGCCAGCGCATCTTCCTGCACAACAACAGGATCACCCTGGTCAGGGCCACCAGCTTCACCTCCTGCCGCAACATGAGCATCCTGTGGATCCACTCCAACAACATCAGCCTCATCGAGCCCGGAGCCTTCTACGGCCTCACCAAGCTGGAGGAGCTGGACCTCAGCGACAACACVAACCTGAAATCCATCAACCCCGTCACCTTCCGGGGGCTGGTGCACCTCCACACCTTACACCTGGATCGCTGCGGGCTCCTGGAGCTCTCCACAGGGCTTTTCCGAGGCTTGTTCTCCTTGCAGTACCTCTACCTTCAGGACAACAACCTGCAGATCCTGCTGGATGACACCTTCATCGACCTGGCCAACCTCACGTACCTGTTTTTGCACGGCAACAAGATCAAGAGCTTGTCGGAGAACGTCTTCCGTGGGCTGATCAACCTGGACCGGCTGCTGCTGCACCAGAACCGGGTCAGCGTGGTGCACCGGCGCGCCTTCCACGACCTGGGCAAGGTAATGACRCTCTACCTGTTCAACAACAACCTGACGGTGCTGACGGGGGACACCATGGCCCCGCTGGCGTCCCTGCAGTACCTGCGCCTCAACGGCAACCAGTGGATCTGCGACTGCCAGGCCCGCTCCCTCTGGAACTGGTTCAAGCAGTTCAAGGGCTCCTCCTCGGAGCTGGAGTGTCACCTCCCACCTCGCCTGGCGGGGAGGGACCTCAAGCGGCTGCAGAGCTCTGACCTGGACGGCTGCGTGGACTCCTTCAACCAGATCCGAACCAGCGTTTTCAGCACCAAAACCAGGCTGGGGAAGCTGCCCACGGGGCTGCCCCCGTTGGGCTCCCACGATGGCTCCTCCAAGTGCTGCCAGCCCGAGATGGATAAGTCCTTCATTTACGAAGCGAAAGGCAAGACGGGGCCCTCCTCCCACAGCAGCCGCTCGTCCAACAACCACCTCAAGGAGAAGGAGAACATGTCCAGRCCCAAGTACATGGAGACGGACCGTTCCAAAAACGGCAGCAACAAGCAGATAAACGATTCCCCCTTTGGGACCTTCCCCAGCATTGTAGACCCTCCTTTGACCAAGTTGAGACCCGAATTTCTAGAGCCCATTGAACCTTCCACAGTCCCAACCAAAAAGAGGCAGGGCTGCTCTAAAAAGAACAGATCAAAGGCCCAGTGCCGCCTCACCCAGCAGGGGAACAGCTCCACGTTACAGCTCAGCCTAAGCCTTTTGATCCCCCCCTTGGTGTGGAGCTTACTGTTATTCTGCTAAAATTAACTCTTTTCCTGGGTTGATGACACTTTAATACTCGACTTTTGCTGACCTCCATAAATGTTGCAAACAAAAGCAGAACTCCCATCCACCCTGAGAAAGCTTTGTTACACAAAACTTAACTGGATGCCTTTATTAAAAAAAAAAAACAAAAAACAAACAGACAAAAAACAAAACAAAACAAAACAAAAAAAAAAGACAAATGCCGAGATGTACATAATTTATTTGTCCTGAAACCTGTGAATTATACCTTTGGTCTTCGGAACTGCACTTGCCCACAAAGCAGCTTTTGCTACAGCAGATGGTAAAGAAATATGGTTTATTTACAGGAAAAAAAAAAAAAAAAAGAAGTGTAAGAAATGCTCTGAAAAGAATGTCTGAAATCTSTTTGTAACGCGCCATCTCACTGAACAATGTTGCAGGTTCCCATTTGCAGAGGTAATGGATTTGATGCTGTTTTAATCCTATGTTGATGACTCTTGCAGTTTTTCCGTCTCCATTCCATCCTTCACACCACGTTTATGGGCAGCATTTGTTAAAGAATGCTGCCTTTCCCCTCACAAGATTGCAGTATATATAGATATGCATTTTATTTTACTTGTGTACAAGTATACAAAAAAAAACCCTATAAAATAAAGATTTCTTTTTCCTAAGCAGTTGTCATCTGCGAGGGGTGAAGGACTCGGAGCAGCTGAAAAGCTGAAWTTTTAAAAGCATACAGAGTGTGATCTGAGCATTGAACACAGCAGTGATAAATGAGACATCTTTGGATGTTTATGCAACATTTAACTGGTGCCAGCAGAGGGTTTGGTTGTGTGAAACGTGCCCTGCTAATGCTCCTGTTTCCCTGCAGCCTGTCCCACCTTCTCCCAGCATCACTGAGATTCCAGAAACGTTGGCCCGGTCCCTGGGATCRGGCTCTGCTCTGCAGGAGGAGGAATGTCCAAAACAACCCCAAGGTTTGGGCAGGGCAGTTTTGCTCCTGTTCTGCACAGATGGGCTCAGCTCTGTGGCAGATCCCGAGCAGAGCAGCACTCAGGGAACTAGGAAATACAGGATATCTCCCCAAAACCAGCCCCTGGGATCACCGTAGTGCTGGCATCATCTCCACAGTGAGCTTGGGGTGCTGAAAAACAAACCACAGATGCCACTTATGGTGGGTGGCACCCCCACAGGACCCAGTGGGCCATGAAGTGGAGCTGGCTGTGCCCTGCTGGCACTGCAGACACCCCCTGGGCCGGGCTGGGAAGGGCTGGGCACAGAGCTCATCTGGAGGCTGCTTTTCCTTATGGAGCCACAGAGTTTCTCCTGTGCCTCTCTCTCCTGTTGGAGGTCTGTGCAGGCAGGAGCAGCCTGCAGGTGGCACGGGATGGGGGCCAGGGAAGGGCAGTGCCATAGTCCCAAGGGAATGTGGACTCCAAGATTGTGTGTGTGGAATTCAGAGCGAGGGGCTCCAGGCTGCACCACCCCTTGGGATTCCCAGCACTGGGACTGGTGCTGGACTTCCCAGGAGGAGGGAGGTGCTGCCAGCCAGGACTGAGGGGCATCAGGATGGCCATGGCTTACCCAGGTTGTCCCAGGCCTGGTGGCTCRTGAGGAGGGAGCAGCAGCCATGGGAAGGAGCAGCAGGATGCAYRGATGGCYRGTGTGCCRCCCTGGGCTGCTSTGGGGCCATGCCAGAGGCTGTGCCTCACTCCAGGGCTGCTCCCAGCTCTGCCACAGSSACTTCCCWCCTGGGWGASTGTCAGGGAGTGCCCAAAGYGCTGCATCCCTGRTCTGTGTCCAAATCCACCCCGGGGCTGCCAGCAAGGTGTGCACCGACCCCGGCAGGGAGCAGCCCCCTGGTGTCCCCGGGATGGGGATGGGTCTGTCTGGCCGTGCTGGGCAGAGCATCCCTGGSATCACAGCAGCTCTGGTTCCTGCCAGCCCAACCCCTGAGGCAGCCTCTGCAGAGGATCCTGGGGTCTTTGGKGGTGAATTCATCATCTTGCCAGAAGGATGGAGCAGGAAATCAGCACCCTGTGTTGGGCTGACTGGCCCAACACTGACCCTGAACGGAGCAGGAGCYGYGCTCTGCCAACCCAGTGACACCGTTGCCGCTTTCTAGAGCTCGACTCCACCGTGCTTTCAGTGGCTCCCAGGACTATGCATTGGCCACAAGCCCAGAAGAGTCCCTCGTGCTAATTTCCTAGATTTCCTGCTGTCCAGATGCCAATTCCTGTGTTTACAGGCATTAGGAGGCCATTGGAATGACAAATATTGAAGAAAGGGATGCAGTGGGCAGCAGGAATTCCTGTCAGAGCTTGGGAGAGGCAAAGGCTGAGCTCTGGTGTTGGGGAGGGCAGGGAGGGAGTTCCCATAAAGGGAGTTTCACTCCTGCTTTGTGCTTTGCTGGGATTGGCACGACTCCTCGGATAATCCCAAACTTGTTTTACACTTGGATGTTACGGAGCTGAGCAGGATTCGCCCTGCAGGGCTCAGGATCTGGCTGTCTCCCATCTCAGGATGCTTCTCTCCCTTCCTTTCTCCTGTGAAGTCACGCTCGATTTTCTGCTCCTGCCACTGATGCCAGGAGGGAAATACAAGAGACAAAAGCAGCAGCAAGGAGCCAGGACTGATGAGGGATGGGATCCAGGCTTCCTGGGAAGAACGGGCTCCCCACCACCAGCAGGGAGCTGCACCATCCCCGGCACTGTCCCCACACAGACCCTCAGCACTGTCCCCACGCTGAGCCCCATCACTGTCCCCTCGCTGAGCCCCATCACTGTCCCCTCGCTGAGCCCCATCACTGTCCCCACGCTGAGCCCTGGCACTGTCCCCACACAGACCCTTGGCACTGTCCCCACGCTGAGCCCCATCACTGTCCCCATGCTGAGCCCCAGCAATGTCCCCATACAGAGCCCCATCACTGTCCCCACAGAGAGCCCTGGCACTGTCCCCACACAGACCCCCAGCAATGTCCCCACGCTGACCCCCATCACCATCCCCACGCTGATCCACGGCACGGATGGAGAGGCAGCAGCACCACAGAGCCTCCAGCAGCAGTGGGAACACACCGAGTTCATCCTTGACTCTCCAGAATGTGTCTCCATGGATTCTTCACTGGTGGTTCCAAGCAGGAACAGAACCGAAAGAGAAATCCCTTTTTGCAGGATTTCAAGTCCGGCTGTGAAGACGACCCGAGCTGGCACTGGGATGGTTGTGCCCCTCCTCGTCATGGTCACACGGGATGGGTGTTTATCCTCTGCCCCTCCCTCCACCTTCCATCCCCCTGCTCCTCTGCTATGGATGGGGAAGGGGATCCCAAAGGCCTGTGTGAGTGGGGATTTGTCCCATCCCAAACGAGGTCCCTGACACTCAGGAATGGTGACCCTCGCTCCAGGGGACCCCATCACCGCTGCCATGTCTGGTGTGCACAGATTTGATGGAAAAGCCATTTCACCCAACTGGCTTTGAAAGCCTTTTTTCCCTTTGTAAATGGATAATCACTAGGATCAAAACCTTATGGAGGGATGCTGCAGCTCCAATGTCATTCCCATCAGCAAGACTCTTCCCATCAGAGCTGGAGGCAGGAGAAGGGTAATGGAGCGTGGAAGAAACCCCACTAATGGCCTGGTTCAGCAGAGACATCCTGGATGTGGATCAGAAAGGTATCCTGGCCATGGATCAGGAAGGACTGAGCTGCTCTGACACCTGTGGCTCAGGCAGTTCCAACAGGACCTGTGATATCCTGAGGATTTCTCCCTGTCCCTGTCCCTGCCCCTGTCCCTGTCCCTGTCCCTGCCCCTGTCCCTGTCCCTGTTGTGTCCGTGTTCCTGCCCAGAACCCCTCCAGTCCTTTGGAACATGTCTGAGTGTGAGCAGTGACAGTGGCCCAGGGGCTGGCACTGGAGCTCACAGCTGCAGCTGCAGAGCCAGTCCTGCTGGGAGCACCCCAGGAGGKGACTGGGGGAGACTGGGACAGGAGGAGACAGCCACAGGGACCCTGGGCAGGCACTGGGAGAAATCTTCCATCCACTGCCTGCAGCAGGCTCTGCTTCCAGGACTGCTCCAGGCATTCTGCTCCRTGCAGGACAACAGAATCATGGAATGTCCTGAGCTGGATGGGACAAGGATCATGGATCCAACCCCTGTCCCTGCCCAGACCCCCCAGCAATCCCCCCTGTGCATCCCTGGCAGCGCTGTCCAAACGCTCCTGGAGCTCTGGCAGCCTCGGGGCCGGGACCATTCCCTGGGGAGCCTGGGCAGTGCCAGCACCCTCTGGGGACWGGAGAACCTTTCCCTRAAATCCRACCTAAATCCTCCTGTCCYTGTCCAGGGTCCTGGAGGATTCCTGGGTCCTGTCCTGGTCATCTTGATGGCAGCTCTGGTGGCATCTCTTGGCCTTAGGCTTGAGAAATCCACAGTTGCCTCAGATGTGCTGTTCCACCTCCCTCTCTTTGGTCCTGATGTGGCAGGAGCTGCCCTGGCCCCTCCTGCCCTTCCCCTGGGACAGGGAGCTCCCCTTCCCAAGCTGTTCCCGAGGGCAGCCCTGGGGCTCTCCCCATGCTCAGCTTCCMGAGCTGGAATCAGCTCCTGTGGACGAAGCTCATCCAAGCCCTGCTGATCTGTATTCTGGGCCTGGAGTCCCTTTCCCCAGGTTTTTGTCATCTGAGGCTGGAGTCTCCCGCTCCTCCTGTGAGCTGGGGAACCAGCAAAGAAGCCCCAAATCCCAGAGGAGGGAGGAGAGCTGCAAGTGCTGTGTCAGGGAGCTCCTGCATGTCTATGGGGACACCTGGAGCATCTCTGCTCAATGCTCCTCCAAAAGAAGATCCTGGGACAAATTCCCAGCTRGCTGTGGCTCCCCAGGAATGAGATCTCTGCTCCTAAAGAGATCCCCCAGAACCCTGAGAGCGAGCCGTGGTTCCATGTCTCTGCTCCGACACGGAGCAGATTATCTGAGCTGCTGAGCTTTGCTCCAAACAAACATGATGCATGGAAATAATAAAGGCTGGGAGGGTTTTTAATTCCAAGCTGTGTTTCTGGATTAGTTCCCCGTCATTAGGCAGTCAGGGAGCAGAGTTATTGCTGTTCTGCCTCCTTCTTAAAACCAGAGAGGGATAAAAAAACCCGGAGTCGTTGAGAGCTGAGGGTGGGCAGGAGAGCAGAGAACGGGTGAGAGAGAGAATTTTTAGGGATGATATTGGAGCATGGTGCAGGATCGCTGGTGGGAAGCTCTGGAGACAGCAGGAGCTCTGCCCACAACTATGGGGAGGGCAAGGAATCTGTGAAAACCTTCTCTATCTGAGAAAAATTAATCCACAAACACCAGAGGTTTTTAACCAAAAAGAAGACAGAGGAGTCCCGCAACTTTATCATGAATAAAGGGAGAGGCCATGGACATTTCCCATGGGGTCTCTCAAATTGTTAGAGGATGAAGCCACCTTTTTATCCCAATTTTTTGGCTGCATTTCCCTCTCTCTTTCCCATTGGCTGAGGGACTAGAGAGGTATAGGCTCCCCAAAATGCCCAATATGACCCCCTTTTTAATACACATCCCACCTTTAATACACCTCTCCTTTTCTTCTTATTTTTCTCTCTGTGTCTGCTCTTGTAGTTCATTAACCCAGTMTGGGGTCAGTCAATCAGTGGAATTCCCATGGAAAATC